CGTACCAGTTGGGTGGAGATGGTATTGCACTCACACCAATACACCATTTGCTGTTTTAACTTGACAATGCCTAAATTAACTTAAAATGCTGAAACCTGCCGGCAAAACATGCTCATTTTTATTATCCTGGTGCCTGCAGTTTGGATTACGTTCATGAAAATTACCTTCCAGCCGCCAAGGCGAACCGCGAGGAGGTGACCGGGCCATAGGCTGCTGTTGAATGAGATTCCTACTGACAGCGCACCGCCGATGCGTGGGGGTTTGAGCAGCTCTGACAGAAATATTGGAAGGCAGGGTGGTAATCTGGATGAACTGACTGCACTGATTAAGTTTTCAGGTGGATTTTCCCCACTTAAAAACATATTAAAACTACTTTATTCCCACTGATCACAGCAAATATAGCTGCAGGGCAAAGAAACGATAGAGTAGCTCAGAACTAAACTGGTACAAGCAGCAAAAAGGAAGCAGCAGACGTTTTTATTGCTCCTGCTGCGTTCTGTGTGAACACAGCTTTATGGGCTAGGCAGCTAACTGCGGCTACAAAAGCAGCATCAAAATAGTGTCCTGTTAAGGAGCCTGAGGTGTGAAAAAAAGTGCGTGGATGTATATTAGGTGATTGAATAAAGCAGAAAATGAATGCAACATGATGAGACACAAGAGAATCGACTCAAAACAAATTAATTTCAAAATCATACAGTCCATAGTCCATTTCTAGCTCACCATCATCAGATCCAGGTCAGAATCTGATCCGAAAGGAAGAAAAAAAAAAAAAAAAAAAAAAAAAACCCTGAAAGGTTAGAACAATCCATTAAGTTTAATCAAAAACAAATAAATGCAAATATAACAAGCAAAACAATTCTTAAATTTATGCATTTCATTTATGCATACTAAATAAAAATGAAATAATTATATTTCTAATAATTAGACAAATCAGGTTAAATTAACCATAATTCCAATAAAGTAAAACAACAAGTATCATATTTCAAGCTTAGTCAATTTAAAGTTAAAGTGCACTTTCAAAATATCAATCAAGAAAAATAGAACAAGTTGTCAAATACTCAAGCAGGGCGAGGGAAAAGAAAAAAAAAATATATTCTGTGCAATATCAACTTAAGTGTAGCTACATTGTTTAGGGTTGTCACGATACTAAACTTTTCAACTCGATACCGATACT